AAAGAATAACTTAAGAATACTGAGAGATAATTTTGTAACTGGCAAGACAAAAAAGCAGATGGTTCCCTAAGCCTTGGTAAGGGAACAGACAGGTGTTACTAGGTGTAATTGAGAAACCCGATTCACAGTTAAAAAACTGTATGTAGGGACCCAATGCAGAGTTGAAATGACAAAAAAACAGGAACAGGCTCCTGTAAAAGAAGCAAGAAGGGACAAGGGGATGTTAGGTTGCCTGACGTTTTTTACTGGAATAAAATTAAACCATTTTCGAGACACCCTTGGCCCAGGTGACTGCCCAGACATTGCTTCAAGTGGATGCCTGTGAGAGCAACCTAGAGGCGTAGACTGCCAAAACATGTTAAAAAGATAAATAAAAATACATGTTTGGAAATATTTAAAATCAGGCATTCATTTCTGAGGGCAGACAGCTGGAGGAAAAATAACTGAATGCAAATATATTAAAATCACAAGCAGGGAAGCAGGTGGCTTGTGCATTAATGTGGAGTTCTGGCCACTCAGTGAGTCCTGCTGGTTAGCCTTCCTATCAACTCAGATTTTACTACACAATTTATGTTGACAACTAAATCCTTATTTATTCTGATTCAAAATGCACTAAAATGGTGTCCAGACCTGGGGTCTCAATCATAAATTTAAAGTCATTTATATGTGAAGACTAAGGCCAAACCTGAAGCTAATTACCCAAAGATGCCCAACAAACTTATCCCCTGTGGTCCCCTCTGCCACACTGATCCTTCTCATGCCACTGCAGCCCACGAGAAGCACGGGGGAAGAGGCGAGACTTACTGTGTGGCTCAAACTCTATTTGAAGTGTGTGTGCGGACTGTAGAAAAGCAATACAACAGCCTTGCAGGCTGCAGGCCTGGCTTCCACCTCTTTCACACGGTGTGCCTTCTGCACATTTGAAGCAGTGACTGGAGAAGGTGTTTCCTGAACTCTCCTCAAGAGCAGCATCTTCAATGTCACTAGTTATTTTTTCTGCACGTAGTACAGAAAGGAGCATTTCTTCCTCAGGGAAGGAATCATACAGGCACTGTACAGGAATACTACTCTTCAAGCTGATTGACCCTCATAGGCCAAAGTAACATTTGTGGTCAAGAACAAGGCTAATGATCACAGCAAGATCTATATCTGAAAGTTACAATCTCACAGCTGGGGAAAAAAGAGAAAAGATTAAAAAGCCTCTCCTAAAAAAACACTGTTATGTCATCATCCTGTAACAGCCAGGATCTCATAATGTCATCAAGATGGAAACTCAAGCAATAAATGCCCCCACAAAGCTTCAATGAAAACAGCAGATATCACTGCCTCTCTAGCTCTCCTGATAGAATGATTACATTTTTTATACATATTTAAATATTAATTTGACAAGAGAGAGAGACTGACAATAGCTTGGTACTGAAGACACTTGCAAGGTATCTCTCAGACCCAGATTCAAGGTTTCTCACAAAATAATACAAAATATTTTTCTAGGGTTTGCATCAGGATTTTTGCTCTGTTCCAGGACACACTGCTGGTCAAGAACAGAGAGAAAGGAGGAGACTTACCCTGGGACAGTGTATGGTACAGTTATAGGGTGTTCACCTGGGAAGTTAAGAAGACACTCTTAACCTAAGTGAGTTCCTTAACTCATGGCTGTTGGGCTAAAGTTCTATCACACTTTCCAAATGTCTTCATCTCTCCATGAGAAAAAAAAACAACACAGAAAGGATCCCTGCCATTAAAGCCTAATTCTATGAAACATTTTGAGAAGTCAGTTTTCTGATGAGAAAACATATTCCATTGGCAATTTCCCAGCCAGCTCTATTTAAAACAGTGCTGGCTGTAATTGCTTATAGTTTAATTCAACCAAGTAAGATAGAGTTCAAACCCTCATGAGTGTACATGGCATCTTTAGAGTGCAACAGATCAGTAAAAGCAATGTGCTTTGTTATTTAAGTGAAGACCAGTGTTACTAAACAACTCATTTTCAATGAAACTCTGTGGGTAATGCAGCTGGGACAGATATTTTTCGAAAGGACTTTCTGACCTATGTATCAGCACCAGATGTAGCTGAAGGTTTTGAATTGAGTAATAGATCCTGTGTTAATAGACTTGCCTTGTTAATACTTTATCTCTGCTTTTAGGAAGGAGAAAGGCAGAGCGGCTTGGCTTTCTCTAGTCCCCAAGCTATACTAGTTAAACTAACGGTGCAATGTTGTATGTGAGTGTTTTATCAAGGCTTGTATAAGTTTGATTTACCCTCGTAAATGTAAACTAGTTTCCATTTTTAAAACTCAATTTGACTCTGTATCTGCACAGCAATTTAATTTAGATGGATGCCACTTTTCTATTTAGGAGTTGGAGTTCACTGGATTAGCAGAGGAGAGGTTTGATAGAGGCAGGAAAAGAGATGAAAATTTAAAAAGTAGAAAAAAATACAAACTAGGACAAGAGAGAAGAGATAACAAGAAAATGGATGGAAAGTTGTTGTAAGAAAGCTGGAAATCTTTTGAGTGAAGCACTGCTGGTCACTTACAGACAGAAAAATGTGGCCACAGGGAGGGACAATTACAGAATCAAGCAGCAGAGAAACGTACTTAGGGATCTGAATTACTGAAAATCTGACAAATAAATCCCAGATTTTAATAGGAAATGAAAAAGCCTTTGAAAATCAGCCTGGAGGCCATTCCTGTGGGCATTAAGCATGTTCCAGTAGTTTCAAGTCCTGTTTCAGGACCTGACTACACATTATTTAGGTGCTTCAAAGGCTCCAGGAAATTCTACTTTTACCTTCTTGGTTTCCTCAGTGACTCATGCTTTTTTATCTGTGTCAGCACAATGTCCCCAAAAGCTTTGCAATGGATTCTGCTAGGAGCTAAAATACCCTCCAAAGCCCTGTAATGAATTTTTGTGCTGTCTTGTGACTTTATTTCCAAAGCTGCGTGTTTGAATACTATAATGCTTTCAGTTCTTCATGCCCATGTGCAGAAGTATGCTGTCCTTCTCCATCAGCAAGCCTAGCATGCCTCCTCATCTGTGCTGGTTTAGGTGAAGAACATCGCAGTAACTGCACAAGAGGTTTAGGTCAGAGGTTGGGATTTTGCTGTGTAAAAGATCTGGAGGCTTGACATGAGACAAAAAAGCATATTAACTAGATGTTGAGCTTTTAGTTTAGCAGAGCACCTTAAAACTCTGTAGAGCTTTGAGGTCAAGAAAATCTTACTAGAATTATGCAACAGATTGCTAAAAAGCTCAGGTAAACACTGCTGGCTTGCTTTTTTTTTTTTTTTTTTTTTTTTTTTTTTTTTTTTTTTTTTTTTTTTTTTTTTTTTAACATGACAGTGCTGAGGGAAAAGCTCAGGAACAGGATGAAATATTTTCTCATAGTATAAACTGTATTCTAAATATAATGCATTTGGATCTTTTAAAGTATAGGATTTTTAGTGAAACTAGAAGAACAGGTAAGCACAACAAAGAATTAGTTACTTTCTCATGATCTAAAATACTTAATAGTCCTATTTTTGTCAGAGATCATCTTAAAGATACCAATAGCGTTAGCCAGAAGACTACACTGCAGAGACACCACACTAGTTTCTTACAGACATGCAAGACTGCATCGAACTTCCATAGAGTCAGAGGAAGGTGGATCAGGCTCCATCTTTCTACTTGCATGGAATTCAAGCTCCTGAGCTACAGAGATTTTTGGCCATCTCCCTGCAAGTGGGGGCTCTCAGGGCTGCCTGCCACTCCCAGCTCCCTCTCTATCTAGCTCAGGAGCTGGCAGTCTTGTCACAGCCTCTGTGGCACACTTTGCTGTGTATTTGGGTTACTTATGTCTCCATTCCCATCTCGTCTGATCCCCTGTCTGGCAACAAAATAAAAAGTATTGAAGTAGCATAAAAGCAAAATTGATCACAGCATGTGTTTTCTATAGTATTACCTCCAACCTTATCCCTTCCACCTCCAGGACATACAAAAATGGTTCTTATGAAAACCAACTTGAGTGACTCAGAGAAACCTACCGATCCCAAAGAGCTGGAAATTGACTGAATTTTAATTCTATCAGGAAGCTCAGAAATTTAGACCTCACTGGTTCTTTATTATTTTGATATTTTTTTCTAATTGGGGAAAAAATAACTTAAACTTATATCTAGCCGTGTGGTGCTTCTTTAAAGTTTAAAAAGCAATAAGGTAATAAAGAATGCAAATGTTCAGACAGCTGCTCACAGGGAGATGCTGTTTGAAGTAACATTTCTCTCTCCCCCTCTGCTGCAGCTGGTTTGCCTTTAATTATTAGCAAGGAAAATAACAGGTTCAATAGATGTGGATGCAAGTTCATTTTCACCATCAGTTGACTTCTGCAACTTTCACACCAACACTGAGTTTGAGAACATGGACAAGTTTACACTAATGATGATTAAGAGTATGACTCATAATTCTGAATATTAAACAAAGCAGAGGGATAGTATGAAGGGTGCTTTTGGATCACAATCATGAGGACTGTCACAAAACACTACCTTAAAAACTAATGTTCAATCCTCAGCTTTCACACACACATCCCAGAGGCCTTAGACAAGTACATGTGCTATACAACCACACAGACATAGATTTCTGGTCCCTTCCCCAAAAAGCTACAATAGCATCTCAGTTTGAACATAATGCAGAGGAACTGCACATAGGGGTGTGAGATCTGCATCACATGCACAGAGAGATGGGCGAAGCTGCAGATGGAGCTTGGTTCTCTGCCACTGTCTGCTCTGCCCCAGAGGTAGAGGGAGTTTTGTACAAGACTGCCCTTAGAGCAGGAGAGGAAAATAAGAAGGAACATGTCAATATCTATCTGAGGCTTAGATCTAAAGGATCGTTTTTACCTTTTCTGTTTCACATGAGATGAAAAACTGTTACATACCTTACTATTCATCAGACTACGGTCAACCAAGAGAGGATGGTAAAGAGAGAGACATATACACATAGATGTGTACCTGCAGTCAATCACTTACTTTGGATTTCCAGTCCCTGGCTTCTTTCTCCGGAATATGTTGAGGAAAGTGTTGGACTTGCAAGGTGCCTTGCCATCCCCGACATGCATACGCACCACATCTGAGGTGGTGAAGGCACTGCGGACGTTCCTCTCAGGCTTGGCTATGATGATGTACATCTTAGGAGTGAACATGCACCCCAGGGCCACTGTCACGCTCAGGCTCACTGCAAAACAGGTGGTGATGATCTTGTAGTTGCTCCCGAAATAGATAGGCACAAAGGCCAGCCAGATGATACAAGTGGTGTACATGGTGAATGCAATGTACTTGGCCTCGTTGAAATTGGCAGGCACATTGCGAGTCTTGAAGGCATAGTACGTGCAGCTCATGATGAGGAGTCCATTGTAGCCCACAGGAGCCACGACGCCTAGGTTGCTGGTGTTGCAGATAAGGTAAACTTCCTTAATGCTGGGGTAGGAGAGGATGGGCATCGGGGGCTCCAGGATGATCAGTGTGATCACCAGTGTCAGCTGCACGCTGATCAAAATGGAGGCAATGACCACTTGGGCCCATGCGCTCATGAAACGTGGCTTGCGGGTACAGATCTTCTTTTTGCTGCCTGCCAGGATGCGTGCAATGCGGTTGGTTTTGGTGACAAGGGCAGAATAGCACATGGCCGAGGAGAGACCCACCAGAAGGCGCTGGAGGTAGCAGGATGTCGTGGTAGGTTTAGCTATAAGGGTGAAAGGGCAGACGTAACCCAGAAAGATGCCAGCAAGGATAATGTAGCAGAGCTCCCGGCTGGAGGATTTGACAACAGGGGTGTCCCTGTAGAGCACAAAGATAAGGGTGACAAACATGGTGACCAGGATCCCCAGGCAGGAAAAGACCACAGCCACAATAGACTCTATATTGCTCCACTGGAGATACTTTACAGGGATGGGTTCACAGCCTGCAGTGTACAGAAAAGAAAGAGAGTGTTAGAAAGGTAGTTGCTTGAAGAAAAAACTTTTTTTTTTTTTCTGGCCCCCAATATAATCCAAACATTAGTTTATGCCTATGTGCCATGGATTATTAAAACCATTTTACAAAGGAATGAACTGCAGCATGGAAAAGTTTGTATGGAATACGTTAAAAAAACCCAAACCCCAAAAAACAGTCATCAGTTTTGAGTGTCCCAAACATTTGCTTGGTATGCTACAAAGGGAAATGAAATTTGGAAATCTTTTCATAATTTTTCTTGAGGTATCTGCTCACAAGCCCAGCATATCAAAGGCAGAGATGGGAACAGAAGCCAGACAAACTCAGCACCACCTCTTAATTTCAGCAGGGAAAGGGTTGTTACAAATCAGAATGGGTAGCTTTTTGACCACCTCAGACTAATTTTAGTCTTTATCAAAATCACTATAACTTGACCCACTATATTTTTGTGAGGGTGATTTTATAAATAATAGAAACTAATTTGAGATCTATGGGCAGAAAAACAGCAATAAATCCAAAGTTGTAATGGAACTACACCATAGATACTGTACCTCTTAGTATATTTCTGCTTTTTTTTTTTTCTCTTAACATTACTTTAGTCTCATTTTGTCAAACCCTCTGCTCATTGTTTTTCCACTACATAATGTAATTTAATTCGTATGGAAAAGTCAAACCCACAAAATAGATAAGCCTTCAAAAAATAACTGGAAAGGCTTTTTATGACAGATGTGCCAAAATAGATATCAGTCAAGATGGTACTTAGCTGCTCTCTCCCACATTCAAGTTAGAGTGTCTGGCTAGATTCCTCACTGTGCTGAAGATATAATGCCAGCAATAAACATTACAGAGAAAATAAAATCTTCTGTATTAATAGGATGTTACAGTTGTGAAGCTGAGTTACTGAAAACCTTCATTCTGGCATTTCCTAATTTCTGTTCTTGATTTAATAGCACCAAATGATTTTAAGATGTTTCTATATCCCAAGGAAATTATCCATGGCCTCTTTTACTTCTTGTTTCTGTCCTCCTCCAGTTTTCTTTGTATCCAGCTCACCTTTTTCTCCTTTCCCCCACCTCTCAAGTATCTTTCCTCCCAGTCCCTCAATGTCTCTGTCTCAGTTTCCCTTCCAGTTCAGTGTTTTCCTAACCTCTCCACCCAGATGTCTCCATTACAAACACTCCTGGTCCAGCTTTTCACGTCCTGGACCAGCTATTCACCACCTCTGCCTGTCTGGGTTGTTGAATGCGGCTGAGAAGTGCAGGGAAAAGGTGGTAATATCAACGAGCTTGTAAAGGAGGCAATTTTTACCTCTCAATTTTGCTGCTAAATCTTAGAAAGGGCCCAGATATTGTGATGAGGAAAAGTCATGCTCAGCCCCTTCCTCCTCAGTATGGAGTACATCTGCAGAAACCAACGTCTATGAACTAAAAGATTGTGAAGCCCACAGTTTTGCTCAATTTATATGCATCTTCCATAAGGTGACAAAACTACCAACTGATACCTCTACCAAAATGTAAAGTTCTTCCTTCCAAATACAGGAGAAGTAAGCAGAGGTATGAATCAGGGTTGAACAGTTTAACCTCATTTTGAGAAACAGAAGATTTTTTTGTTGTTGTTATTGAAATAAAAAAAAAAAAAAAATCAGCCTGGGGCACAGTCCTGGCATTGAAAATTTCTGATTGAACTTTTAATGTCTGATAATGTCATATGAACTGAAAGAATGTCTTATTATTCCGTACTCCTTGTCTCTAAGTGTACCAGGCTAACTTAACTACAGGTAATGAGGTTTACTTAACTATAGGTAATGATGTTACAGGTACCTGTAACATCAAGAACAATAGAAATGATAGTATGTGCAACGGAGGTCTCATTTTATAAAGTAAAGGAATTCTATTTTGCTCAAAGTGGTCTGTTCAAGACTCAGATAGGTGAGGAAACCTGTTCTTCCAACCAGCATATTTGTGGTGAAATATGAAGGAAAAATCTTTTATTAGAAGTGGGAACCTCTGGCCATTGGCCCCAGCAGCCCTGAGTGAAAGTTGGCTCCTTTGATTTAATAAAATACTAAGACTCAGAAGTTCATGCTCGTTGGTTAATACATGCAAAGCTCTTCTTAAACAAGAAGCCAGTCTGTGGTTGCTGGAAGAGTTACGTTTCGATGTGGGCTTTAAGCTTGGAAACATCAACCCATACTCATATTACTCCATTTTAAATGATATTTTCATAGCCTTAGCCCTGATTCATCATGGTAGTTAAGCTGATCGATTGCTTTAAGTTTATCCTGTGTAAGATCTTAGAAATCTGTTTCATTAAATCAGTGTAATGCCTGTGCACCAGCAAGTCCCAAGAGCCACATATGCTACAGACATTGCCAAAAGCTGCCTGCACTGCTTATATCAGCAAACAGTCGTTAGTTGTCAGCACCTGTGATGGTGGGTCATTTCCCAGTTAGGAGAAAGTGGGCCAGGGAACCTTGTTAAGACCGGGGGAGGATACCCAGGAAATGGTGTACTTACAAGTTGAAAAAAAAACCCACAACACAAAAATCCTGAAAAAAACCCCACAACTAACCCAAACCTCAAAAAATCAGAGGATTATTGGCAAAAGTTTCACAGTTAAAAGTTTCTAGGCAGCTTTCATCTGCTATTTTCCCTGCACTTTAACCATGGTTCATTTCCTAGAGCAGAAGGTTAAGTGATTTTTAAATTTCTTTTTAAAGTTATGTTCATACTGTAAGGCCAGTAAGACAATCCAGAATGTTTTCTGAGGTCATTAACACATCCCAGGTAACTGATGGGCACAAGCCTTTATGATTCATTTCGTAATAACTCTGTAAAACTTCCTGTCCTATCTTGTTTTATTGCTTATTTAAGATGATTTATATAAACTAGGTTTACTAGCTTGACATTAATTTTTCTTATAATAGATTCTGATACTATAAGAGATATCTCTTCTTCTTGGCACAAGGCCTTAAGATACTGGGTTTAGTGACTATTTGTCAGGTCAGGTTTTTATCATCTGTGATGAGACATCCTTTGTGCCTGCTGACTCCACTTCACTGAAAACATATTTAGGGGAAGCAATCTAAAAAAAAAATTGTACATTTAAAAATAAAATTAAAATGTCAGGAAAGGATTTCTGAGCAACAGAGACTGATTTCAAATTAAGAGAATGAGCACCCTGAAAAGCATGTCCTAGGAATTGGGTTAATATGTGCTTCATGCTTCTTAAAGGGACTAAGGATTTTAGAGCCTCTGTCTCTGATGGAAAATTGGACTAAAACTGCGCACACGTTTAGCATTTAAGATTTAAGGTGAAGGGAAAACAATCTGAAGCTATGGTGACTGGCAGGGTATGCATACAACAGACAGAAAGCAAGCTATAAAAACATATCTGATGCGAGAAATCCTGACAAGAAAAGAGAATTCTAAATTAAATGGTACAAGCAGTGACTCCCACAGAGTTCAAGCACCAGAGTTTATCTAGCTCAGGCTCCCTTTTCTAAGGTTAGGATGGCATCAGCTTCTCTTCACAACTTTGCACTTAGTACTGCAATTCAAGTAAATGGATTGCAGGGGTTAAAAAAAGTTTTGTCCTCAACAAGACAGAATGAAGAAGCTGTGAAGGAGCAGACTGCCATTTTGACTTTCTTTGGGAAATCGGTCGATGATTATGCTGTCATTTGGTTGATGCTACTGTGATTTCAGAACAGCAGCAGTCCAGTCTCCTTGCTGAGAAGAAACACAAATCAGCGGGTCATCTACTGATTTCATTAAAAGTTAATAGATTGCAACATGCCCCTGAGATTTTTTCCAGCACTGATGCTTTCCTCAACTCTTTTCAGCAGTGCCTGTCATTTTGACATGCCCCCTTTTAAGCTATTTTGGGCAGCTGGTAGCACTGAACCATATTCACTCAAGTGTACATTGATCTCTCACTATGTTCTTGTTCTGCCTTATTGATTAAAAAGAAGCCCCACTTTTCTTCCCTGAACAGTAGATACAAACAATTCTGCAAACCTCCAAAACTAACAGAACCTCTTTGTCTCTGGATATCTGCTTTAAAATTAGCAGACACTAGTGTCCTAGGAGGCGGGAGTTGAATAGAAGATTTTCCAATGGTCAGGACATTTACAGGTCCTGTGGATTTTCTGGTGTCTAGCAATATACAACATTTTCCCACAGCTGGGGCCCTTACAGAAGGTATTTTTCAAGAACTCCTCTTCCTACAACCCACTTACATGAAACCTGAAGAACGGAATGATCACTGAGATTTCTGTATCATGACAAATCTGTTTGAAGTAGGTTCAGTTGCACACCAGAGAGAGAGAGAGAAGGGGGGTGGGTGGTGAGAAGTATGGGATATAGACAGATACAAAGACATCTGGGGCACGACCATAGCTTACTTTCCATAGAAAACCAAGATAAACAATGGATCAAGTTTCCCAGTTTATTGTGAATGATAAGATATTTTTAGGTGGAGTAGTGTCCAGCTTTCCCTCTCAAAATAAAACCTCAGAAAGCTCCTTGGCTTCAGTGACTTAGTTTAGCCACTATCTCTCAGAACTATTTAATCAAGGTTTGAGTACTTTGTCTATATGTTAAACACAGCAGCAACATCTAGTTGCCAACCAGCCATATTAAAGGACAAAGATATGTTAAGTTGCACATTTGATCTTCAGCTAGGTAGTAAGACTGTTTCTCTAGCTAGGAATTATGCCCTGCTGAATACTGGCAGCCAACATTTGCAGATGCAGCATGGGGCAGAAGTACCAGTAGTATTTTACAGTGATACAAAGCAAACTTCAAGGTCAAGGTGGTGCTTCTCAGTGCATTAAATCTATTTTCTTGGGGTAATGGTTACTGCAAAGCCCAGAGCAGGTGAGGAGGTCAGCCCTGCTAAGTACAAAATAACAGAAAGATGCCATAGCATACAAGTCATCCAAAGGATATCCATAGGGGACGGCAATTCTAGATGTTTCCCTTTCTGCTACCAGACTTTTTAAAGATTTTGTTGACATACCTCTTGCTGGCAGGTGCAGTAAAAATTATCTTTATGCCAAACAAATGTCTGCTAGTCAGTTACTGAATGGCCTGAAGTCCCAGATAAAGTATTATTAATTGCACAGTAGAACAATCAGAAAGAGTATCAAGTCAATCTGACAGAGATGCAGTGAGCTCTTGGGATAATCACTGCTAAAATTGCAGCAAATGCTGCTAAGTTCATTAGTAGTCTTAAGAGCTTTATCAATGCTTATGCTGTTTGAAGGGGAGGAACAAAGAGATTATGTCACTTCTTCTTGGTATCCATTTTCCTGTCTTTATTGTCACTGCTGTTGAACCGAGCCAAAAGATATAGCACTTTTCACTCACCCTAAACTGCATTGGGATGTGTGTTTAAGTATGTACCTCTAATAAGTCTGCATGTTGCCACCTTACTCTCCACCACACACCATTCTCCTTGTGCCTCGTAAAATGGGAATGCATTTGGAGGGACACATCCCTACCTGTCAGGTCAGAATTCGGCCACCAGCCAAGCTCACAGGCTTTACATGTGAATTCATCCTGAACAAATTCATTCTCCTTGCAAGCAGTGCAAATCCAGCAGCAACTCACTTCTCCTTTCCTGATCACCTGTAATGCAAAATGCATCCTCAGCTATGATCCTCTATAAGATAACACAGAAGACCCCCCAGCAAACAGGTACCACCTGCACTGTTTTAAATATGACAGAATTCCTGTGTATGGCATATTTCAAGCAACTAGAAAACATGAATCCTGAATCTGTATCTCCCACCGTGAATCAAAATTTGTGCTTAGGAGTTCAAGGATAATATCTGGGGACAACTGTATTTCGTTTTGTGGCAAGCGGTTCTGAGTTAAAAGTACAAAACCGTTTTCCCTCTGGTACAGCGGCATGGTGAGTGTTATCCTTGCCATCAAACTTGAGAAGAGGCTTAATCTAGGAGATGGTTCAGGTCAGGACAAGTAGCTCAGCCCACACTTAATATCTATTGCATAGTAAAAAGCAGTAAACAAAGTCAAAGTGTAGAACAAAGAGTGATTCATGCATATACATATATATATACACACAAGCACACACACACAGATATAAATTCCAGTTTACATGGAAGTCTCTTTGGGGCTCATTACACTAGTGTAAATAGAAATTCAAATAAGAGCAAATTAAAAAATATACTGCTAAAAGGATGTAATGGGTCCTAGTAGAAAATAAAACCAATATGCAGTGACCAAGAGCATGCTTCGGAACAGCTCTTTTGGAGACAAATGTCCCTGAAAGCTGTAACTTTCTCTGCTGTGAAGGCTGCTAAGTGTAACGATCCAGTGTTGAAAAGATAGTTTCTTTGTCTTGACTCCTAGTTGCATTATGCTGAGGCTGAAAGAAAGATTAAGGGTATCTCCAGCTCATGGGGCTCCAGCAGACTCTAGCTCTGTTTGGCAGAAAGGAGGAATCCAGTCTTCTCTCCAGGATCTTCTTGTGCATCTATATGCAGAGCTAAGTGCAGTAGTGAAATACGAAATGTTTAATTTATTGAATGCTGGCTTTGTGGGTTTTTTTTTGTTAACATTTCCTCCTGCAGTCTGTGGAGAGAGTCCAATAAACTTCAATGGGAGATGAAGCTGGCATTTTGTATGCATGGTGTTTACATATACACACATACACAAACTGCACAATCTCAAAAACAGGGAAAAGATGTTTTAGAGGGTAGTAAATACTGATAATGTTTTCCCTCCAAGACTGTTGGAGTATGTCACTATGCCTTTGCCAAATCATCAATCACTTACTGGTTAGAGTAGCAATATAGAATTAAAAAGCCGCAAATGTTATTATTAAATGAAATTAGAAAGGAAGGTCTGCTCTAAGGTGATTTTCCTGAATGGGCTTCTTGCCATGTTAAACTTACTGCATCCATACCATTTTGATAGTGGTGGAACATGTCTTTATGTCATCCAGGCATGGCAGGTGGCAAATTATTTCTAGCTTGATACAAGTGCTACTGTTTAGTAAACACAGAGTGATTTCATTCGTGTTTCCATATCTCCTGTTGTGAACATGAGACAAATAGCCTTTTTTTGTTTTTTCTTCTTTTTCTTGCAGGTGTTATTGCTGGAACAAAATACAGGATTCCCATGGGTCACATTATTTTCAGGATCAGCCCCTAAGTGAATCACAGCCACTGAATGTTGTAGGCAATGACTAAGTGAAAATCTTGCTCTTTCTCACATAAGGTAAAATTCAAATCCTGTCGCACTTGAAGATTCTGCATCACTACAAAGGGTAATTTAGAAAATATGGGCCTGTATAAGGGATTGTAAAAGTAAGATGTTAACCTTAGGGGTCTTTCTATATTTTTGGCTTTTCTGAAGAAAAGGGTGTCTTATCTCTTGGCTTGAAAGTAGCTTACTTGTGTTTAGGGAAAAACACTGACTGGTTATTCACATTTCTATATCAGAAAGTAAGTATCAGAGGCACACCTTAATCTGGCCCTTCAAGCAAGGCTCACTGCACACTGATCGGACCATTCCACTCTTATTCATCTGAATCCTGTAGTCGTCAATGTTCAGCACACCCTCATGCCAAGTCCCAATGAGGACGTAGTCATAGCGGTTGGGCTCTATGTACTGCAGGTTCATGATGTCATACCTGCAAGGGAAAAACGAGAAAGTGAGTCACTGTCCTGCAACACGAAAGATAAAAATTTACCTTGCCCTTCTCCTTCTGTCTCTGTAAATATTCATGTCATCCCTTAACACCAGGGACTTGAGTTTCACAGGAACACCGAATACTATAGGATTTGCAGCAGAGTCATGGGAAATGACAGCTGTGATTGCCACGCAGTTACCGATTGCCTGCCCTGCTTACATAAAACTGTGGGTAAAAGGTTGTGTGTCCAGGAATAACTGCACACCAAAGACAGAAAGCTCTGCTAAAGATGCACGTGTAGGCACTGTCTAGATGGTGTGTTTTTCAGCCATTTTTCAAGATGTCTTTAACATTTGCTTGGTGCCTACATACAGGTTGGTTGCAGTATAGCTGCTGCTGGGACCTCTAGAGTAATCAGTAGAAATGCTCAGACTAAGTGAACCAGTACGCCATAAGTTAACTGCAAGCACTAGTTCAACTGTTTATATTACCTAGCCCAGTGAGACTGTCAGGAAAAGTTAGCAGCCCAGGCACAAAATTTACTTCCTTGCCCTAGGCAAGTAGGAGAGAACTTCCCAAACCTCATGCAAAGGAAACATAAAACACTGCTACACTAAACATTCAGCTTCCCTGCCTCCATCATTGCCTTACGTGTGTTGGACCTGGTGTGTGCAGCACATCCCTTACTGCTAAGTTTTCTGTTCCTTCTTTAACCCACAGAATGTGGCTTGTGCAAAGCAGTGATTAACTGTGGTGATTTCTTAGTAGGATATAAGCAAGAAAGGGAGAATGAATAGCGGAGAGTGCACAAAGAGGAAGAACCACAAAAGAAGCTGGACCTACAGCCTGGCTTCCTAAGATGGGAAAAGGGAAGGCTTTGTTTAAAAGAGGACAAGAGAAAGAGGGCTGAAAACCAGAAATCAGCACTGCATCTGAAAATCACAAAGCATCTTCTGTTTTCCAAGCCTGGGAGTTACTGCCTTCTTTTTCTCTAATGGATTGTCTCAGTCTCTGGGGAAAAAATATTTTCTTTCTAATGAGTTGCTAGCTTATATGTGCTTTAGGAATGAAAGGTAAGCAAATTATGAGCCATAAATAAAACTGGGATGGTTGCTTGGTTGTGGGCAAAGAGAGAGACATATTCATTTTTTCTTTTCCCTTTTGAGGCTCAAACATGCAAAATTTCAACTCTCCCTGCACTTCACAGAGGAAAGAGGTGCTAGAATTACTCTCTAGGTGTCTGTTTTTCTTAATAGAGTCTTTGGAATCTCTCTAGTTAAAGCTGCTTTAAAGAAGTGCATATTTACAGCTGTATTTAGACCTCAGTCTTGCAAATATGCATGCTCAGACTGTGTCAGTGCCACTGCAGAGCTTCACTGAATCACATGGGAAAATGGGCTCTTGCCACCGATTTCAATGGAGCCCTAAGTAGGAAGTAGCTTCATTGGTTGTCAATCAGCTACTAATTGAGGAGTTGCTTTGAAAAAGGGTAAATTTCAAACTCACCAGGAAACAATTCCTTCTCATATCCCAGTTCTTGCAAAGGAAGAACATAAAAAGAAAAAAAAAAAAATTAAAAAAGAAAAAAAAAAATATGTTTCCAGGACTGTGAAGAATCAGTATACCAAGAAGCAATAAGAGCCGGGGACTTTATAATATATACTCAACAGACAGGAGTAAAATTGAGCAGGCATGTACATGCCTCTTCCTAGCAAGAAGAACCTGCTTGGATTTTAATGTGACCTTGTATGAGACTGACACAAAATCAGTTACTCTGGGCTCAAAAATGAATTCAGGAAGGGGAATAAAAGATTACTAAAACCTCCCATTCCCTTAATGGAATTTTTGAGCCTGCACAGATTGTTTTCGGTTTTGCAAAAATATATTACAAGGCACAGAGTGGCATTAATGCAATATCAATCAAGAGCTGGCAATTTCGAGAATATGATTTTAGGCTGAAAACCATTCTTATGTTTTCTTATAACACTGTTCCCTTTTCTATCAGTTATCTGTCAAAGAGTAAAGTATGCAGATAAAAGCTCTCACACAGTCTTGCATATGACAAGTTGTAGTACAGTGCTTGCAGCTTTGATATGCAGCTTGAGTTTTAAGTGGAAAAATGTGGTCTAAGAAATACTCTTGGTACATGAAGATGTGCTTAAGTTCTTTATCCTTTCCTTCTTTCCCTTAATGAAAAATTTCTGCTTTGAGTAAGGATAAGCTCAGTGCTGGAATACCTACCCCATCGCCTTGCTCACATACGTACAACTTTAACAGTTTTGGGCTGTGTCCAAGCTAAAATTATTATCCCAAAAGATGTGGGTTTTGCAAGAATTGTGAAGCTCTAAGAGAGTGAGGACCATGGAGGAAACTGGATTTCACACACATATGGCAGCATTTACAGAAGCCATGAAAACATTCTGCAGGTAGGAAAATGAACCCTTCTTTTAATATAAGAGCAAGTTCTCTGGTATATTGGGAAATGATGTGACCAAATAGGTGGTGTTATATAAGCAAGTTACTTGTGAGGTGTGCCAGATCGTTTAGCCAGCTGGTCACAGGCACACTCTTACTCAGGTTAGTCTGAGATAGCTGAGGTTACCTTTTTCCATAGCCATAATACCAAACTGCCAGTGAGGTTTGCTATACTGGAAGGCAGAATGGAAAAGAGCAATGCTGAGCAATGCTGGGATGTAACTGGCCAGAACAACCACCCCTGAAGCCAAACTCCAAAATAACCATGTGTATTTGACAAAAAATTCCTTTATATACAAGTTTGAAGTCTTTGCATTATGCATTTGATAATTTGCTCTAAGCATTGGAGTTGATAGAGTTGCCATGTCTGAAGCCAGAACAGGTACTGGAAATTTGGAACTAGATAGACTTATATGGGTCTACATCCAAGTCTAGTTTAACTTAAATGAGCAACATTTCTGTCAGCTTGTGAACCTCAGCATTTCTCTACACATCGGAGGTCCAATGTAAGGGCTGAAAGTTCTCCTGCCTGTTATCATGTAACATTTTATAGTCAAAAGTTTTGCAAATTTTCCTAGAGAGGCAAGTTTCTTCATATCTGTCATAAGCTAAAAGTAGGCAGTTACCCTAGAACAGTCAAGAGCTCCAAATGGATCTGTCCCCTGCCCCTTGCACAGGCCCAGGGAAGGATGTGGTGTTGACTACTGCATCCCTCACACCTTGTCCAGCCATTTCTGGGAATTTGAGTGATATGACTAATATTGAGAAAGGAAATTGGAGGTTCTCAATGAAAGTAAAAAGTTCAGCAATTTTACCAGCATGTTCTTAATGATAGTATACCAAGCACATGCTGTTGATTTTTCAGAGCTACATCCACGTCATTTTTCCAGAGGCAGTGCAGTCAGTTAAGTGACTGCATTTGTGCCCTTCTGATAAAGGTCTGCTTCACATTTCTGCATAAAAGCTCTTCAAATAAAAGATTCTGCACAGAAGAAATAAGCCTTTGAAAAAGTGCTTCATGTTTCCTAATCTCATTTTGATAAAAGCTTGAAATCATGAATTGAGCCTGAGATAGAAAAAAGAGTTATATCTGAACAAATGGTTAAGGTTTGATGAAGCTGTAAGAGGTTCAAAACAGGAAATTATATGTCAGGGAAACATAACTACAAGTTTCTCTATCTCTACCCATGATGATTTTCACTAGGAGCTTGTGAGAATCAATTGTTCAAAGATTCTCACAGATTTTTTTTGAAAATAAAGTATGAAGAATTTTGCTGCTTTCTAAGGAGTTTTGACTTAAACCATCTTGTGAAGTTGATTTGTTCACATGATACGGTAACATAATATCAAAAAACTTGTTACATATTTGTGTGACATTCTTGCGCTGGCATAGAAAAGCTAAAAACTATGAACTTTCAGATCTAGTTCTCTTTGCTGAATTTAGGTGTTGTATATGGTGTTTATCTTTTCATTTTGCTAAGGTATAAGAGTTTTTTTTGGCTATTGATGTAGTGGTATGGTCCATTCCCTCATCCACAAAGCTTTTTGATGTGAAACTGGAAACACTAGGGCTAATCTGGAACAACATACAATTCTGAATGGCCATAAACTACCACTGGTATACAAAGATCTGACAGACTGTACAGATCACATTTCATATACACATCACCATTCTCTGATATGATATTGCCCATATCATAAATGCCATAGACTGATCCAAGGACTACAGCATAAATAACAAAAAGGTTAACTGAACTGTCTCACCCAAAATTGCTAATTCCAGATGTGAATATATAAATTAGGAATGATAGAAAAAAAAAAAAAAAACAAAAAACCTACCTAAAATAACCCATCAAATTCTAAATAAGCCAGAGTATCAAGAGAAATGAACTTGCTATAGACCAAAATGATGGATAGAAAAAATTCTTTCTCACCTACTAAGAGAAATATCATAATATAAATTCTCCTATATTTTCAATTCAGGAATTCTTCATTCTAATTCTATGCTTGGTACTGATGAGAGTTGTGGAAATGCTCTCAGATGCCAAGATATCGAATAAGATTTGGGCAAAAATTGGAAAATTACACCGAAACATCAAACTACAGGCAGACAATGCAGCATATGCGAATCTGGATTAATGCTTTTATGGCAATAAAAAGTGTGTAATAAACTTAAAGTTACACTAAACAGTAATTTCTCTTTGTTATCTCAATTATATGTGCAAAGTCTTGATTTATGCATTTGTGTTAATAAGTATGTGTCTGACTGCTTGCCTCCATTTTCAGTCTGACCTAACTCCTCTATATCTTTGACTAAAAAAATCTCAAGTATACGATGCTCAACAAGAAGACCAAACTGACCAGATTTTTATTACTATTTAAATGCAACAAACTGTTTAAATTTATATACTGTTTAAATATGACAAGCAAGGCAAATTACAATGAAAAAAAAAAAAAAATGTTCAGTTTTGCTAATAAAGGCTAGTAACAGACATAAGAGTTGCTTTAAGGTCACTTACAAATACTCTGAAGGCATATGCCAGACTGCAAACTCTTGTGTGTTTCAGAGCACACACAGAGCACACGTACAGTGTTGGCACTCAGATGCATTTATGCAGTAAGCCCAAAGATGGAGTGAGAGAGTCTTTTATAACACTTTAATAGCTCAGCAGGGAAACTAACTTCAGTGAAGTAACCCCTGAGTGGATTTAAGTTAATAAAGGATTGTGTGCTTCAGCAGCTCAGTTAAACTTATTTATTAAAAAAACCCTCAAAAATAAATCCGTCTAGGAGGCATCACAACATGAAGTAGTTGGACAGAGCCCATAGAACTAAATGAAGATGAAAAGATTTCTGTCTGTTGGCTCCTGTAAGAGAAACAAAGGTGACGTACAAGTCCACAAAGTTGCTGTCTCACCCATTGCTTGGGTACATACTGAGTCTGCTCAGGGTGGGTAGACAGTAGCAGCTACCACAGCTGGATTTACCAGACCCCAAATGAGTAAAAAATAGTACCTTCTGTAAAAAAAAAAAAAAAAAAAAATAAAAAAAATTGTCCTGCTTTACTCAGACCTCTTTAAACTCTGGGACAGTCTATCTTAGTTGGAGCGAAACAAGTTAAGGTGAGCACACAGAAGTTCACCAAGCAGACCTAAAATAGTCTTTGGCAAGGAGGCAGCAGAGCTCCAGTTGGAAAAGAAAGTGGTCTACAGCCCTACCTTCAAAACCTTAGCAAGCAATTGCTTCATTAAATTTCAGTTAAATTAGGCTTTATACATATCAAAACCCTGGTGCTGAGCCCCAGTGGTAACTCAGACAACAAAAGTTTGTAAGCTACAAGGTCTGTCCTCTCCTGAAACACTAGAAATTTTACAGGCTGAACTCTAGTTCCTGTACCAATAAAATCGACATATCATGTGTTACCAGTGTTATTCCTGGATATTGGAAAAACTAATCCAAATAACTCCATTTATGTCTCACAGTATGCATGTTGTATGCTTCAGTGAAACAGCCAAAGACATCTCCACAACCAAACCCAGCAACATTCCCCTTCCCAATATCTGGTTTACTTAGTTAAGATTAAACATCTCTTTACCTTCCAGGGGCATCTCCCTTTTCATCAAACCAAACTTCTTCTCCAGAAATACCGATGAACGAGGATTTAAGAAGGAAGTCCAAGAGCTTGCTGCCATCAATTGGCTTCATAGCATCACACAGCCCAACGTGTCCAGGGCAAAGGGAATGATGCATATTTTGTAGCCCATGAGCCATAGCATATATAGCATTGATGACAAATCCCATTTTACTGTCCTGCACATAGTTTTCTTCTAGGCTCTCGTTGCCTACAATAGTAAGAGAAAAGTGTTATTATAAAAATGATTAAATAATACGAAAATATGAAAAAGCAATGAGATATAAAAAGGGATTTCCTTATTCCTCTTGTAAAGCTTTAGAAGCACAAACAAGGTGCAAGCCAGGGACTGTAATTAAATAAAAAAAACACACCATGTTTTTTTCCCCAGAAATTTTTAATTCACTGAAAGTGAAATACCTCATGAGAAAGCACCAGTTTAACCAAATTGCAAACTTTAATTTCTCATTTTGGGGAATTTTTCCTTGCCATACCACAATGTTATTTATGCTAAGAAGGGTTAAGAGCTCAGCATCAGAATGATACATTCATAGAATCACAGAAACATAGAATCATTTAGGCTGGAAAAGACCTTGACGATCATCTAGTCCAACCATTAACCTAACACTGACAGTTCCCAACTACACCATATCCCTAAGCGCTATGTCAACCCAACTTAAAAACCCGACTCCACCACCTCCCTGGGCAGCCCATTCCAACACCTAACAACCCCTTCTGGAAAGAAATGCTTCCTAATATCCAGTCTAAACCTTCCCTGGCACAACCTGAGGCCATTCCCTCTTGTCCTGTCACTTGTTACTCGGTTAAAGAGGCTCATCCCCAGCTCTCTGCAACCTCCTTTCAGGGAGCTGTAGAGGGTGATGAGGTCTCCCCTCAGCCTCCTCTTCTCCAGACTAAACACCCCCAGTTCCCTCAGCCGCTCCCCGTACGACCTGTGCTCCAGACCCTGCACCAGCTCCGTTGCCCTTCTCTGGACACGCTCGAGTCATTCAATGTCCTTTTTGTAGTGAGGGGCCCAAAACTGAACACAGGAATCGAGGGGTGGCCTCACCAGTGCCGAGTCCAGGGCTCAGATCCCTTCCCTGTCCCTGCTGGCCACGCTATTGCTGACACAAGCCAGGATGCCATTGGCCTTCTTGGCCCCCTGGGCACACTGCTGGCTCCTGTTCAGCCGGCTGTCAATCAGCACCCCCAGGTCCCTCTCTGACTGGCAGCTCTCCAGCCACTCCTCCCCAAGCCTGTAGCACTGCTGGGGGTTGTTTTGGCCCAAGGGCAGCCCCCGGCATTTGGCCTTATGGAAACTCCTGCAGTTGGCCTCAGCCCATGGCTCCAGCCTGTCCAGATCATTTCAGAACATTTCAGCTAGAATAATTTTTGAAAGCAATTTGCTTGTAAATTTGACTTTTTGTCACATTTAAAGGTGGGGTTTTTTTTAAAAAAAAATATCATGATTTTGAGGGCCAAGATAGCAATATCCCTTCAGTGGTAATAAGCAAACAACCTAAATCAGCATCACTTTTCAAGTTACCAGAATAATCATTTTAGCTGCGTAGTAGTAGGTATGCCAGTTTGGGATTGCCACAAAATGTCAGACAAAGTTCAAAAACTAAAACACTTTTTTATGTAACTGCAGCATGAGCAGACACTGAAGTCTGTGTTGATCAGAAAAAAATGTGGCAGTGAGGGTTTTCCCCACACATAGGTTTTAGCTCTGATCGGTTGATGTCGAGGTGCTGCCAGAGGGTGCCATTTGTGGTTGTGTTTCACATCAGCTCCCGCTGAGTCCTGGGCTGTTCCCCTGCTTCCTGGCACGAGCTGCTGAACGCTGCCAGTGCTGACCCCGGGTCATGGTGGACCTGTGCTGCAGGGGTCCCAAGGGAAATAAGAAAACTCCCTGTTTTGTTTCCTTCCCCCTGAGTCATTCTATCGCAATATGCTCCAAACTGCAAGATGCTTTTATCTGTAGACCTCCCACGTTACTCGGTGTTTAACAGGCACTTGCAATCCAGTCTCCGTTACTTTGTCTAAGTAACACCTTGTCTGTTCTAGGGAAGTAGGATGTGTGAGAGACTAGGTGTTAACTGACACTTCTCAAATCCAGGTTGGAGAAGATAGTTGTCATTTTAATATGAAGAAAAGAGGAAAATCTACAAGTTCACTAAAACTTTCAAGTTAAAATATAGTTACTTCCCCAATGTAGATATGATACGGCTTTCAAATAAAACCGTGAAGACCAGCCTTACATTTCTCCTTGGAAGGGGCTCTGGTTTGGTAGGTCTGCTCAGCTCGTTTGCCCTACAACTCAAAAATGTCAACTGGGGATTCATTAAGATAACAGATATCCCAAAGCAAAAATTTCTAGCTTGCTTTCTCTGGGTCTCCCTCATACAGGATATTCATTGCAACTAGGTGAGAAAATCTTGCTTCAGTAACTATTTTCCAGATGAGCTGAACATAGCAAACAATTGTGATGGTGAATTCAAAAAGGCTCGTGAAAATAGCATAATCTGACTGAATGAGTTCGTGTGTTCTTCTCACTGCCATACATTCACCGCCAGCACCACCAAGCAGGGAGCAGCTGGAGAAACATTTCCCAGAGGCAACATATCTGTCACTTTATTTGCAGAAGAAGGTCCATAGCTCCCATTCAAGTTCCATGAAACCAACACCATTCAGATCCATGTTCAGAAACACAGAAAAACTCGAAACCTTATATGTAAACCGACAGAATATTTACCCAGGGAAGCAGTGCATCTACCCTCACTTATGTACTGAATATAGTATAGTATGTACAGCATAGTCTAGACATCTGTTGCCTGAATATGTTAATGTGCAGCCTGAATATACTATTTCTAGGTATGTTTTATTTGCTGATTAGTCCTTTGGGATTAACACACTGTGAATTTATCACTGACTCTGCTTTCTTGTAGATAGAAAATGAGTGTGTTTTCCATCTCTTGTGAAGTTTCTAGGCAGCAAGCTGCAGAAGAGATCACAAAATGACTGATAATGCACAGCACTCAGTATCAACTGTTTTCTACCTGAGAGTTATCTCAGATACATTCCTTAATTTCTCAGTTAGTTAAAAAAAAAAAAAAAAAGGAATATAAACATCAGTGACACTTTCAGGATATAATGAGGCAAGCATTCATGTGGCTGCCAGAGGTAGAAACCTGAATGTAACAAAACTTGCCAGTGTTTAAAAAGAGGCCATTTCCCTCAAGTATGTATTAACTCAGCAAAGCATGCATTTGATTTCTCATATTTCAACATAATAAGCATACCTCCAAAAAGAATAAATATTTGTTGGTGGGAAGATTTGATTTTAACTAAATAGGACTCAACATCCATCTTACATTAAGGATCCAAGCATATAGTCCACGCTGCAGAAGCGACTGCCTTAACGTCACCTATAGAAATAGTTGTACTGCAGTAGAAAGCAATGTGTTAAGTATCATATGGTAATGAATTATCTACAGATCAGTAAAATAAACATCCCTATGTGTAAATAAGATATTTTCCAGTAAAATCAGTGTGAGAAGCCATGATTTACCTAAACTTAACTTCCTGCAGTCAAAATCTTTTTTTTTTTAATTTTCACCTTTATAAGTTATCGAATACTTATGCATTGGAGCTTGTAAAAATTCACTTATAACAATCAGTAAAAAATGTGTGGGTTTTTTAAAACAATGCAATAATGTACTTATGTTCAGCCAGAGAAAAACCAGAGGCAATCAATGTTCAATTAAGTTTTCACAGGACAGCTTTTCAATAAATGCAAGAACTATATTATGTTTGCTATGGGGCTTCTCTGTAAAGTTGTATTTTTCCTTAGTAGGTCTTTGAAATGTGATGAAGGGCGAAGCAGAACTCTGGACTGTGAAGCTTTTATTTTTCATTCCTCTATCATCCTTTGGAAAAAATACCATTTATCTACAAAGACTAATTTGAACACTAGGGTTTATTAACATTAAAAATAGAAAAGTATTTTGTTAGCCTTGTTTTGTTTTGTTTTGTTTTAATTTTAGGGACCTCAGCTTTCACTAAGAAACATTGTAAGACACATGAGTACTGGATTAATTGAAGTCACTCAAATTAGGCCATTACTTTTTTGAATGACCTTGAGGAATTTAGGTGCCCTAAATTTCATACTTACTTATTTTTGTATTGAATGCAATGCAAATCTTCCTTTAATAATTTCATTTTAACAGTTCCTCAATAGTCTAGGTAATTTTTTCTTATCACAGTTTTGATTTTAGTCTTTGTTTCTGCCAATCAATCTTAAAGTTGAAAAAGGAGGAGAGTAATACCCTACTAAAACAAAAAAAAAAAAACAAAAAAAAAAAACCCAAACAACAAAAACTTCAAACACCACAACCTGGCTGCACACAACTGAAAAATGGTCGCAACACTGCTAAAGGCAGTATTTATGTTGAGAGGGTAGGAAGAGAGGACAGATCAAAATTTCCTGAGTTTTTCCTTTTACCATAATGTGCTTCACATCTAACTAATATTAGCTTCAGCTAGGTACTTAGAAGGACCTAAAGGTAAAGTAACCATGAATTTAGTTTAATGCCTTTGCCGTGAAGTCAGAGTGGGGCTAACAGTATTCTCAAGAGCAGAGTGGGTACTTGTGCAAATAAAAAAAAAAAAAAAATTTTGTCACTAGACAAACTGAAATTAAGAAAAACTATACTATGAGAATTATGGCTGGAAATGAGTTAACTTTCATGTATACCGTAAGATAGGAAAAGTCTATGTTAATACTCAATAAGAAATAAAGCATAAAAATAATCCTTTGGATTACTCATTTGCAGTCCTCAGAAAGGCTAGGGCAGGAAGGAGTTTGGGATAGAAAGAAATGTAAAAACATTTTGGTTGGAGAATCTGATCAAGATCTAGCCAGTTGGTAAATTTTGAACAAACACACACATTTGGTGAGAACACAGTCTGTTCACAGATGACTCTTGATTAGAATAACAAGCCAAAATCTGTTGAATAAAATTGTTATAAACAATAATGTTTCCTCTGGAATAGGCAGACAGTTTTATGATTTGTTACTAACGGTCATCTGCTGAATATTTAAGGTCACATAAAAAAGATATTTTGTTGTCTTGGTCCAGTTAGCAACTATTATGAGAGCTATCATATTTTCTGATAGTCCTGACAGAGGGCTGAAGGTCTTAGGAA